CACCCAGTTAAATATGCATTTTGGATAAAGAACAATTTTTTAGTAAAAGCATGTCCCAAATAATGCATAAGATATAGGAAACAATTATTCAGTGTTTATCTGCAATATTTAACTTTTTTTAGTTTGCTAAATCTGGCACCCCACCTCCATCCCCACATTAGAATCAAAACTCTAACTCCATACACATGGGAGGTTGGCTGACTAAAGCACTACATGGTAAACTTCTGTTTAAGGGCAACATATACAGAGGAAAAACAAACAAACAAAAAACAGGAAAGGAGGAACAAAACTTTCAGCATTCCTCTTGAGTAAGAGAGGCATCTAATTTTACTTGACACTAAATCAAATATGAGTGTTACTAGACCTCAATCATACAAGTACCTGCACAACCAGAGTGTCCAAACAGAGCTGAATGCTCTCTACTCCACACACCTTACCCTGTGAACACAGGTAAATGACAGACCCCTTATTTCTGCCTCCAGCTCAGGGCTCCTGTCTGCACTTAGCTTAAGGGAAACCAAATCATAAACTCAAACTTCCTGACCAAGAAGCAGGAGAACAAATACAGTCCAAGCAAAATCTGCATGCGGCATAAAAAGTGAAGGCTATAGAAAGGAAAAATTACTGTCTTCAAGAACCAATCTTGTTTTAGCAATTTCCCTTCGCAGGGGCCTGGCCAACATGGTGAACCCCCATTTCTACTGAATAAATAAATAAGAAATGAATTTCCATTTTCTTAAATTTCCAAAAAACTTCACTCTTTCTAAATCAGCACAAGAGGACAACACCCTGGAGATAGGCACTGAATGGCCCTGCCCAGTTTGCCCAGGATACAGACAGAGGGTTCCGGTCTGCCACCGTGGAAAGGACCGACAGCCTCACCTTTCTACTTATTTGAACTTCCCCTTTTTAAGGAAGATAAGACTATTATTTTGGGGAAAGTAGGACAGAAGATGAGAGACTTAGGAGATGCTGGTGTATCTATAGACATTGCTTCTCTTAGAAAAAAAAATGGATAGAATAGTAGGAAAGAAACAGCAGAACACTCTACAGACATACCAGCCTGAATGCACCTGTTCTCCTCTGATCTTGGAAGCTAAGCAGGGTTGGGCCTGGTTAGTACTTGGATGAGAGAAATGGCAGAATGATCCCTATTGCTCCGTCTTCCGTTCCCTTTTTCGTTAGTTCAGCACCTATCTTTTTGAGCGCTTAATATATGTCAGAAACCATTCTATGTGCTGTGGACATCACAGTGAGCAAGGCAGATTCCTGGCCATCATGGAGCTTGTCTTCTATCAGTGAAAGACAAATATCGTGTGTACGTGCTGGTTTGTGTATGACAGTATTATAAATACTCTAAAGAAAACAAGGCAAGGTAAGGGGGCAGAAAATGATGGGATGGGTGAGGGATGCTATTTTAGATGCGGTGGTCAAAGAAGGCCTCTCTAGAAAAATGACTTTTCACCTGAGTGAAATAAATAAGAAAGCCACACAGATATCTGAGGGGAAGAGCATTCCAGGCAGAGGAAACAAGGGCAAAGGTCCTGAGGTATGGCTGCAGCAGAAGTCAGCAAAGGAAAGAGTGAGAGCAGATGAAGCCACACTCCATGCAAGGGCTGTAGAGACCATGGTGAGGACTCTGTCTCTTCTGAGATAAAAAGCCATTGGAGAGTTTCAAGCAGAGTGACATAATAGACCCTGGCTGCTGCCTTAAGAATAGAGTGTGCAGCAGTAAGGGTGGAAGCAAGGAAGTCCTTTAGGAGGCTTTTGCAGTAATCCAGGAGACAGTGATGATAGGAACTTGGTGGAAGCAGCAGAAGTGGTGGAAAATGCTTATCATCCTAGATGTATTCTTTTTGTTTGCTTGTTTGTTTGTTTGTTTTGAGATGGAGTCTCAGTCACCCAGACTGGGGTGCAATGGTGCGATCTTGGCTCACTGCAACCTCCGCCTCCCAGGTTCAAGTGATTCTCCTGCCTCAGCCTCCCAGGTAGCTGGGATTACAGGCACCCGTGACCATGCCCGGCTAATTTTTGTATTTTTAGTAGAGATGGGGTTTCACCATGTTGCCAGCCTGGTCTTGAACTCCTGACCTCAGATGATCCACCTGTCTTAGCCTCCCAAAGTGCTGGGATTACAGGCGTGAGCCACTGCGCCTGGTCAGATGTATTCTTAAAGTAGAATCAGTGAGATTTGCTGAGGAATTTTTTTTTTTCTTTTGAGATGGAGTCTTACTAGGTTGCCCAGGCTGGAGTGCAGTGGTACCATCTTGGCTCACCGCAACCTCTGCCTCCTTGGTTCAAGCGATTCTCCTGCCTCAGCCTCCTGCCTCAGCCTCCCAAGTAGCTGGGACTACAGGCATGTACCACCATGCCCAGCTAATTTTTTGTATTTTAGTAGAGATGGGATTTCACCGTGTTAGCCAGGATGGTCTTGATCTCCTGACCTTGTGATCCGTCCACCTGTCTCCCAAAGTGCTGGGATTACAGGCGTGAGCCACCACACTCAGCCTGCTGAGGAATATAATGTGGGTTATAAGAGAAAGAATCAAGAATGATTTCAGGATGTTTGGTGTGAGCATCTGGAAGAGTGAAGTTGCCATTCACTAAGATGGAGAAGACTAGGGGAAAAGCAGCTTTGGGAGAGAAAACTCAAAAGTGTGGCTCCTAGAGATTGTTGTTCACTTCAAAACCCTTACATCTATTCTAGAACCAAAACAACAGAAATTGAGAAGATGACTTTAAATTTCATATGGAAGGCCAGGCACGGTGGCTCATGCCTGTGATCGCAGCACTTTGGGAGGCTGAGGCAGACAGATCACCTGAGATCAGGAGTCCGAGACCAGCCTGACCAACATGGAGAAACCCTGTCTCTACTAAAAATACAAAATTAGCTGGGCATGGTGGCACATGCCTGTAATCCCAGCTACTCAGGAGGCTGAGGCAGGAGAATCACTTGAACCTGGGAGGCGGAGGTTGCAGTGAGCCGAGATCGTGCCATTGCACTCCAACCTGCGAAATAATAGCAAAACGCCGTCTCAAAAAAAAAAAAAAAAAAATTCATATGGAAATTCAGGGAACTGGACAGTCAAAACATCTTGAAAAAGAACAAGGCTGAAGGACTCACATATCCTGATTTCAAAACACTATATAGCTACAATAATCAAGGTAGTATGATACTAGCTTGAGGACAGACATACAGATCAATGGAATAAAATTGACAGTTCAGAAAGAAACCTTTACATTCATGGTCAATTTATCTCAACAGAGGTGCCAAAACCATTCAAAGAGGAACAGTCTTTTAAACAAATGGTGCTGAAAGAACTGGATATCCACACACAAAGGTTGAAGTTAGACCTCCTACCTCACACCATATTTAAAAATTAACTTAAAATGGATCAAAGAATGAAATGTAAGAGGTAAAACTATAAAACTTTTAGAAGAAAACATAAGTATAAATCTCATGACCTTGAATTTGACAATGTTTTCTTAAATTTGACATCAAAAGCACAAACAACAAAAGGAAAAACAGGCTGGGTGTGGTGGCTCCAGCCTACAATCCCAGCACTTTGGGCTGATGCAGGTTGATCACTTGAGGTCAGGAGTTCGAGACCAGCCTAGCAAAACCCTATCTCTACTAAAAATACAAAAATTAGCCAAGCATGGTGGCGCATGCCTGTAATCCCAGCTACTCTAGAGTCTGAAGCAAAAGAATCACTTCAATCCAGGAAGCAGAGGTTGTTGTGAGCCAAGATCATGCCACTGCAGTCCAACCTGGGTGACAGAGTCAGACTCTGTCTCAAAAAAAAAAAGGAAAAATAGATTAAATATACTTCAATGAAATTAAAAATCAAAGCAGGTCATAGAAATTAAGGAAGGAGGGAAAAAAGCGAGGGAGGGAGGAAGAGAGAAGGGTACAAAGGAAGAAAAAAGTAGGAATGAAAACATAAAACAACATAAACCAACATCAAATACAGAAAATAATGATCCTCAGTCAAGTTCCTTCGGCATTATATTAACCTTTCTTCACTTCTAACCATCTGCAGAAACTGTTTTCCAGGTTGTATTTTCCCTCTAAAGCAAGTTTTTAAGAAGGCCGGGAAAAAAAAAAAAAAAGTAACAAGAACAGTGAGTGGAGAATCAACAAATTTAATTAGCAATGATTAGAGAAAACGTACATAGCGCAACTCTATAATCCCTCTACCCCCAACTCCAACATCTGACTGATCAACCAACCATAAAAAGTGATAATCCATCCGGAAGGAAAGAACAGCTGTTAGCTGCAGGGGTAAGGAAGAGGACCCAGTGGCAGAAGACCCTGAGGCCATGTAGGCCCAGGTGGCCAGCAGGAGCTAAAAGGCTGGGAAGGCTCCTCAGTCCAGGGCTCACAAAATTCGCTTCGCTTCAGGCCTGCCTTTGCTGAGCTGGTGATCTACTGGGACAGAGACAGGCTTTGGCAATAGTTACTAAAGCCTGTCATCACATCAGCCCACCACCAGTCCCGACGGCAGGGCCTGGCCGCCAGGTAGAGTTTGCTGTCTAACTGACAGGAGAAGGGAGAGCCCCTCCCTCGCAGCCAGTCTGCAGTCCAGACCCTCACCAACGAGAGGGCAACCGGGTTAAACAGTTAAACTGAAAGCTAAAGAGGAAGGAATGAACTGGGGGGCGTGCGGGAGGTCGGGGACTTTCCTCCTTTCCCTCCAGGAAAGTTTCCTACCCCTGATGGGCACCCTCGCACCTGGATGCAACCCGGAGGCGACCTGAGACCCTGGCCGGACCCCGGACCGCACCTGACCAGCACCAGGCGGTTGTCATCACTGGGGTCTGCACTGAGGGCCTTGGAGAGAAGCCACTTTTCCGGGGGGCTCGGGTGCCAGGAGGCGAGGAGAAAGGGCGGCGCAGCCTCCGACCCCAGCCCCAGGACGGCCCCACGGGGACGCCTCGCTCGGTCCTCCCGGAGGGACCGAACCCGCCGCAAGCCTCCCGCTCCTCAGGCCCCTCACCTGGCTCGCCCCGCAGTCCTGTCCCCGCCCGGCTCGAGTCCCCGCGCGCCGCGTCCACCCGCCGCTGGCCTTTTTTGGGTTCTTGGCGGGTATTTTCCGCCTGGCCCCACATCACTTCCCGTAAAGGAGAGCGAGGTGGGGCGGGACCTCCTCTCCTCCACCTCCCGCCTCCTCCTGTCACCTCGGGAGCGGCCCCTGCCCGGTTGGCGGGGGTTGGGGGACTGTCGCGCTCTCCCCCGCCGCCGCGCCTCCGAGGGGTCCTCTGTGAGCCCCGAAAAGGCCCTGCTCGCCTCCTTTGTCCCAACACTAGTTTCCACTGCCCCGTTCTGGAAGGTGCTAGAAGATAAAGGGGTGTTTTCGTTTTGAGACACGGGGGTGACATTTACAAAGTGCACCAAGAACCAGTATGCGGCGAGGTGTCCTTTGGGGACTCTGCCCTATTCACCTCCCCCAAAAGCCATGTTCTAAAGGTGTTTTCCAGGGCATCAGATCGCGGTCGCCACCGTAGCAGCCGGAGGTGCCGGGCGAATGCACGCCGGCCCCGCCCGGGGTTCCCGAGTCCTCGCGGCTCCTGAGGCGGCTTCCCGGGCCCGGCCCTGCCGCCGGCTTCCCACCCCTGCGGCTCCTGGCTCAGGTCGGCCTGGACACGGCCTTTCCGGGGCAAGGGAAAGTCTGGGATTCCTGGAAATAACATGGGAGAAAAATAAGTAAAAATTTTCGCAGGAAAAACATCAATGTAATTCTGAGAGGAAATGGCAAACGGAGTCTCTGCTCACACTGTCTAATTCAAGAATATAAAACCACTGTAAATTTCTAAGAGTGTTAGAGCAATGAGTTTAAAAAGAAGGAAACTACAGTATGTTAAGGAACCGCCTCTGTCGGAAGAAACCTGCGTGCTTTTGCTGCCACCCAGTGGCTCTCTTTTCCCAGCGCCGACGGTGTTGCTCCGGCCTGCGGGATCGTGAACCTGGGACTGCGGAGGGGATCAGGCCTCCTGGTTCCCACTCAGAGGCAGCCAAGGTCATCCACCTCAGTGGCCTGGAGGTGTGAACAGCAGGCCTTGGGCCTGCCCCTATGGAGTCTAAGGCAAAGGCCCTCTGAACCAAATGTTTCCACTTCTAAGTAGAGTAAAATGTTGAGAAGCCTTAGTCTGGCTTGTCTTCTGCCTTCTAAGCCGTCTTGCTGACTTGTGTCTACCTCCACCGCAAATTCCAGCTGTCCCAGGCCCACCTGGCCAACTCCATCACCTTTCCAATCTGTAGCTACTCACAATTTGCATTACAGTAGTTAGCTTGTCAGATGGGTCCAATTTACAAAAGCACGTATAGGATGAACCTTATGAAATCACCAATAGTCGGCAATTTCACACATTTGATATAACATTTCCAGGCAACCATAACACAGTAAACTCGGGTTTAGAGATAACAGATGTCATAACAGGTTGATAAGTTCAAGAGCTGTTCCCGTGTGAGAGAAGGGCCGTCAGACTGTTGGTGAGGTTAAGAGAAAAAGGCCGGGTGCGGCGGCTCACGCCTGTAATCCCAGCACTTTGGGCGCCCGAAGCGGGCGGATCACAAGGTTAGGAGATTGACACCATGCTGGCTAACACAGTGAAACCCCGTCACTACTAAAAATACCAAAAAATTATCCAGGTGTGGTGGCACGCGCCTGTAGTCCCAGCTACGTAGAAGGCTGAGGCAGGAGAATCGCTTGAACCCGGGAGGTGGAGGTTGCAGTGAGCTGAGATGGCACTACTGCACTCCAGCCTGGGCGACAGAGAGAGACTCTGTCTGGAAAAAAAAAAGGGGGGAGGAAAGGTAGCCCCATGTTCATGTCTAGAGGAATAGTCCTGGCAATCACTGGTCAGCTAAAATCTGGGAAGCCAATAATGCAGTAATTGCTAATGGCTGGTATGGTACAGGGAAAGCCCACCGTCAGCTTTCCCCACTCCTGCGGCCAGGCATGGCTCTCACCAGGAGTATACCAGACAGGAGATCAGAAAACCCAGGATGGCGCTATGGCCCATTCATCACCCATTCATTCACTCATTCATCAAGTCAGGCCCTGTATTAGTAAACAAGGTAAACTGGTCCCTGACCTCAGGACTTACTTGAGAGACCAGCGAATAAGTAGGCAACTCCAGTAGTGAGATAAGAGCCTCAGTAAAGGAAGTTAAAGAGTGTTATTGGAACACAGATAAATGACACCAAATCAAGAGAAAATGATGGATAAACTTAGAATGAATGAGGGCAAGGGGCAAGGGAGAAGAGAATTCCAGGAAAAGGGAGCAGAGGGAAGGCCTGGAAGCAAAAGATAGGATTCGACCCTGGAGCAACAGGAAGAGGTTCAGAAAAGCTGAAAGACTGAAACAATCAGAAAAGAATTTGGAGAAATAACAGAGGCTGTGTGGTGAATAACCGTGCAATGATGATCATGATAATAACTAACATTTCTTGATCATTTACTCTGAGTCAGCCAATACGCTAATAGTTTTTACTACATCACCTCTTATGTGTCTTACAACTACTTTATGAAGTAGGTTCTATTCTTGCCTTTGTATTACAGATGAGGAAACTGAGTCCTAAAGCGATTAAGCAATCTGACCAAGATCATATAGCTAATAAGTGGCACAGCCAGGACTAAAACTTAGAACTGAAGTTTGTAATGGTTCTAAGACTAAGAATGGGTTTGAGAGGTCAATTAGCACTCTGTAATCCAAGTGAGGGATAATAGTGATCTGATTAAGGCAGTGGCCATAAGGATGGAGATGAATGGACATATTTGACATATTTAGGAGAATGAATCAAGAGGACTTGGATGTGGGGGTGTGAAAGCGAGGCAGGAGTCCATGGGGATGCCCAGTTTCTGGTTTGGGCAACAAGAAACCATTGAGCAATAGGAAGAAAACCTAGTTGCAACCGGGAGGAAGGGTGAAATAGGCCACGGTGATGAGTTTAGGACATTTCCATTTCGACACACTAGCAACAACAGAATATCCAAGTGAAGCCTGAATATTTAGTATGTAGTCAAATAGGCCTATCTGAAGCACTGAAAACGTGTGCTGTAGCTATTACCCAAAAGGTACTGGAAGGCATTAGAATCAATGAGCTAATCTAGAAAGTGAGCTGAGAGGACAATAGGCTTGTTACAGAACCCAGATGAACACCCAGCTTTTAAGGCATGAGCAACAGAAGTTCAAAAAGGAATCCAAAAAAACAGTATCCAGAGAGGTAGAAAGAAAACAAGGAGACTGTTATTACGGAAACTAAGTATACTGAACACATCTTGTGTGCCAGTTCAAAGTCATCTCTATGCCACTTCTTACTCCAGCCACAGAATCGATCACAGTATACCTCTTGCTTCCCACCCTGGGGCTTTTCGGACACTGCTACTTGCAACATGGAGAGTTTCACCTCCAGTTTTCCTAATAGAATTAAAGTTGGTGGAATCAGTAAGAATTCATGGATTTTAATATATAAATATATATATATATGTGTGTGTGTATGTATGTATTATCTAGTTCTATCTGCTAAGAGGTCCTAGAAGCAATTATATCAAAGTAGCTATGAGTACACTTAGCACTTGGATCTTGATTTCTTTTTTCTTTTTTTTTTTTTTTTTTTTGAGATGGAGTCTCGCTCTGCCGCCCAGGCTGGAGTGCAGTGGCCGGATCTCAGCTCACTGCAAGCTCCGCCTCCCGGGTTCCTGCCATTCTCCTGCCTCAGCCTCCCGGGTAGCTGGGACTACAGGCGCACACCACTTCGCCCGGCTAGTTTTTTGTACTTTTTAGTAGAGACGGGGTTTTACCGTGTTAGCCAGGATGGTCTCGATCTCCTGACCTCGTGATCCACCCATCTCGGCCTCCCAAAGTGCTGGGATTACAGGCTTGGGATCTTGATTTCTTAATATCCCTTTCCAACAAAAGGAACCAATTACATGATATTATATATAGAAAATCCTAAATAATAAAAAAACTATTAGAGCTAATAAATGAAATAAGCAAAGATGCAAAAGACTAGATCAACACATAAAAATTAGTTGCATTTCAACACATTAGAAATGAACAATTGAAAAGGAAACTTTAAAAGTTCCATTTACAATAATATTAAAAAGAATAAAACACTTAGGCATAAATTTAACCAAGAAGGTGGAGGATTTATACATTGAAAACCACAAACCACTACTGAAAAAAATTAAAGAAAATCTAAATAAATGAAAAGACATGGCTGGGCGCAGTGGCTCATGCCTGTAATCCCAGCACTTTGGGAGGCTGAGGCAGGTGGATTACCTGAGGTCAGGAGTTTGAGACCAGCCTGGCCAACTTGACAAAACCCCGTCTCTACTAAAAATACAAAAATTAGCTGGGCGTTGTGGTGGGCACCTGTAATCCCAGCTACTCAGGAGACTGAGGCAGGAGAATTGCTTGAAGCCGGGAGGTGGAAGTTGCAGTGAGCCCAGATCGCACCACTGCATTCCAGCTTGGGTGATGAGTGAAACTCCTTCTCAAATTAAAAAAAAAAAAAAAGAAAATACATTTAATGTTCACGGATTCAAACACATAATATTGTGAAGATGGCTATATTCCCCCAGATAGAGCTACAGATTCAGCAACATTTTTGAAGAAATGGAAAAGTATACGCTAAAATGCATATGAAATTACAAAGGACCCAAAAATTTAAAAAGCTCATGCTTCCTGATTTCAAAACTTACTACAAAGGTACAGTAATTTAAAAAAAAAAAAAACTTATGGTATTGATGTAAAGACATATAGAGGAGGGGAATAGACTTGAGAGTCTAGAAATAAAAGTATGCATCTATAGTCAAGATCATTCAATGGAGAAAGAAGTGGCCCCAGCAAGTGGTACTGGGAGAACTAGATATCTACATGCAAAAGAATGAAACTGAGGCCTGGCGTGGTAGCTCACGTCTGTAATTTCAACACTTTGGGAGGCCATCGTGGGTAGATCACTTGAGCTCAGAAATTCCAGACCCAACTGGGCAACATGGTAAAACCCTGTCTCTACTAAAAATAGAAAAATTAGCCAGACATGGTGGCTTGCGCCTGTAGTCCCAGCTACTCGGGAAGCTGAGGTGGGAGGA